GTCGGGAGACTCGGCGCCCTTGCACGCGGCCCTGGATGGGCCGGCAGCGGTAGTGGTCGCTGGTGTCGGCAGTGGGATGTTTTATGGGGAGGTCCTTCTGGCCTCCCTGGGATAGTGCTGGCGGGAGGGAGAGGACACGAAGGCAGAATAGCTCAGCTTGGTCCCGATCCTTCCCCGAAGATGCCAGGGAATGGCCACCGCGGGGTTTTTAGTCAGTAGGAATCTGACATATCCCTGCGCCCCTCCCCCGGGGGGTGCGGGGAACCTATGTAAGGTTTTCCCCGCGTGAAGAAAAAAAAAAGGTTAGGTTACATCTGTCACGTTTATATTGTACTCTATGGTATAAAATCATAACGTAACGGTGTCACGTGTAACACTCTGAGGCTTATTCCGCACTCTACAGCACGGCAGCATATCGTAACTGTGTCACGCGTAACGCTGCTTCGCTTATACTATACTCTATAGTATAAAATCATAGCGTAATGTTGTCACACCTAACGCTACCTTCTGCATTTCACAGTCCACGGTCCACTCACCATGTCACTTTAGAAGCGCATTCACACGAAATAGGCGCGAAGCGTATTGGGGGGTTGGGCCGCGAAGCGGCCAGGGGGCACAGCCCCCTAGTATTTAAATAAAACCACAGTAATAGATAAAATTATTAATCTGTCTAACTTTGCGAAAGCGTATTTAGATATACTTAGAGGAACACACTTAGGTCGAATTCCTCGCTGCGGTAGACTACAACGCGTTAACATTATTAATTTCGTAAAAATACATTTATATAAATTCAGAAATCGTATCGCACATAGATATGATACATTATAAATTATAAACGTATTAATCAAATTTAATTTTGTCATTGCGATAGCTTCAGAAAAGAGAATGAATCATATAAAATATCAAATTTAGTTAATTTTATTAGAGCGTAGTTAACTTTATCCAAGAATCAGATTTAGGTACGATTTAACATAAAGCATTAACTAGCGAATTACACTTTGTTAAGTTCTCTAATTACGAGCTTCCATTATTATTATTATACAATCAAAATCTATTTAGTTTCTTTTGTTCTAATTGATCATTTATAATCTATATACTTTTTATTACTTTTGTTGTTATTGTTATTTGTTAATTTCATTTTTCTTATCGTTTTATTGAATAAACCTTATTGTTGAAAGATATTGACCTGTGAATTTCACTCCTTAACCGCGCACCACACGAATCCCACATTCTTTACATTTAGTTATTTGCGAAAAACGAGTCGTTCAGTAGGTAAACGCCACTCTGTACCTCACGAGCGCTTGTAACATCTGAACCAAAGTTCCAAGGTCGTTACATAGCCTGCAAGACCTCTTACCACATTCTGCACCATACTATCTTTCTATGTATTAGTTTTTTAATGAGAGGAAAGTATATAGAAGTAAAGTCTGATTGTAATTCGTTTAAGGTATAATTAGACAGCCTAATGATGTAATTAATAAAAAGAATAAAAATTCTAATCAATCAAAATATTTTTATTTTTTAAATTCAACACATTTGTCAGAGTAAATATGCGTAAAAATCTTGTATCTGTTGCGATCGAGTTTGTGAGAATAACATTTGAGACACAGGATGATATTTCATATTTGACTCACATCCTCTATCTGAATTAAAAGGCATTTTAATCTCACATCAGAAATCATAATGAAGGGTGCTATAGCATATTTTAAACCTTTTTCCAAAATCAAATATAAAGTACGATAAACCAGAATGTGATAAGATAAGGAGAATATACTATTTGTACGCGAAAAAAGAAATCGCTCGAAGGACCAATGTTCGCGCCCGAATGCTCGGTTAAGTATAATGATTGAGGTAGGGAAAGGTGATGTTCACAATTGTAAAATGGACTGTATATAAAAGCTTTACTATTAAAACTTAGACGCGTGACTTATTAAGGGTCTGTCCCTTCGAAAATACAAGTTCGAATCCGTAAGTGTCCGACGGTCGGAACACTACCAAGCCCCTGTGGCTGCTGAGAATTTTCTAACGCTTTCCACGAAAATCAGGAATAAGGTAAACCCTTGAAGGTTCCCCTTCCAGAGATGTTAGATATTTTGGCGCTCAAGTGGGGTTGAGAACTTTCCCTATTTTTACCATGTGACAGGCAACTGTGATGTTTTGCACAGTTTTCTAATTTCTCTGCCTGCCACATGGTTTACAACACTAACCTCGACCCGAGTCAACCCTGGCCCAACGATGGGCTGACGGTCCTACCATAAATAAACTATTATTTATGGGTCCCTAATAAGTTCTCAACAGAGATTAAGAACAAGTTTCAAATATAGTTTATTTGTTTAATAAGTATTCGCTATATTCAGCATTATGTAACGATTGTAATCATTGATATTATCACATCGATATTCGGAGTCTAGACCCTTTTACTTTTATTTTAATTGCCTTCTATTTCAATAATAGTCTCTTTTATTTCTTCCGACGAAATTTGTAAAGTTGTATAAATAATTTCAAACAACCAATTTTTACTATTTCAATTAAGTGTTTGTAAAATATTTATTAACCTTCCTTTATGATTTTGACTGAACCTTTCTTGTGTACATATATTATTTCATAAGAGATTACTGAAGGATACTTCTCCCACCTGTTCTATTCTTAATAACTATGTATTAAGGAAACCAGTAACCTTTCACAAGTAAAAATATTTTTTATGTAAATATGAACAGTGCTAATATGCGCAATTTAGAAGCCGTTGGTACAACCCTCCGAAAAATGAAGCTATTGCATACAAATTGTCATTAGAATTTTTAAAGCGAATAAAATAACATTCATTTAGATAATTATGCAGAATAAGTATTTCGCTAAATTTTTAAAATTTTTCGTAACTTTTTTGGTAAATAGCATTGTTCTGACAATGATAACCAATCGTGATAGGTTAGATTAGGTTAGGGATCGCGGATATGGCAGCGGAGGTTTAAAGTATGTCAATAGATTGATTATTATTGTTGAGGTCATTTATACGGAGACACATTTATACGAAGAAACAGCGAAAAAACGAAATTCCGGTTTTTGGCCCATTTTGCCTATTTAATTTCGTAAAAAAATGTTGAGACATTGAGGTTCACGTAGCGCATATTATAGAATTTTTTCAGATTTTTTGATCGCAAATTGTAGATGTGAAAAATCAAAAACCGAAAAAAAACGGAAAAAATGTGATCTTTTAGTGAAGACGTCGGAAGACTACTTTTATATTAATGTGGTAGTTACATATCAGCATAACTAATATTCCCTAATTTTTACCGATTTTTCGAGGAGGTGCCCTGTAGTTAAAAATATCAAAAACCGATATATTCCTTGAAAAAAGTACTTTCCTCTTCGAATATGCATGCCTCCTTTTGTCAATATATGTATATATTAAGTAATCTTAAAATCATTGACATTCATAACTAATACAAATAATATACTAGTTAAAGAAATAAAATTCATTTATTAATTCATTTTACGTCGTAGTCAGTTATATTCCGGAACATAAGACGTTATTTAAACAAAAAGATTAGGTAAGAGGTTAGGAGTCCTACAACGTATTCGCAGTACGTTTTTTAGTCGTAGGTTCGAGCCCCACTGGACTTGATTTTTTTCCGTGTTATGTTTTTCATATTTTTTTCTTTTGTAATAATATTAATATAGATTCTACTCTTTCCTTCAAAGAAAATAAAATTATTATTAAAATAATGTTAACATTGTAGTCTCTTCTTTATTTAACGAAGAAATATAAAAAGAATACCTGGCAATTAAACAAAAAATAAAAAAAAATAAAACAATCATAATGGCGTACAGCACGTCACAGGATCAGCTGTGTTTCAAACTGGGACATCGATAATGGAAGGTTAATCGGTAATTTGAAAAAAAAAATATGTCACTCATTCATGCTGTTGATGTCATGATTGATTACTCAGTTTTATAGTAGAGATACCATTAACTTGGTCAAAGAGTAATTGCACAAATTAGCTTTTTCTTACAATGGAATAAGTTATATTTCAGAATTTAAAAACATATTTATAGAATAATTTATGTATTATAATATTTAATGCATTACGTCGATTAGTAATGCAAACCATTAGTAATAAATTTATTACAATTAATACCATAAAAACTTACTATTTTTAAAATAAAGATTATATGACTTACATCACTATGACTTTTATCCTTCATATATATCTAACCTTAACTATACAATGGTATTATACATGCATTATCATAATGTATAATTAATTCCACCTGAAGATTTAACTTCAAGTAATTAAATAACATTTTAGCAGTTGCTACACCTTACCATGTTAAAGTTTATGCAAGATTGTAATCTTCTTGCTGATGCTACATTAAAAGAGCATGATCGATGTTGAAATCAACGAATCTAATAGATTCTATAGGAATCTCAAGCCGTATCAACGCTGTTGTTTCGATGTTCCGGGGATGCTTGGATTTTGACCCTCCTTGTTCGTTTCATCTGTAAATACATTACATAAACACTTTAACCATTCTATTTGTTCAAAAAATATTAATGAACTTACTTGGACTACATACACAAGTGTTAATTGTTATCTGTGAATTTTATGTACAGAGTATCTCATTTACTTTAGTCATTTTAAGCTAATTTGTTCTTTCTTATATTACAAAAAAAAATTGAATTCTACAATTGAACATACAATAAAATAAAAAAGTTACCATTAATAATTAAGTTACCAATACTTAATTATTATTTAATAAACATTGTCGTTAACTTAAACAATGCCTGATGGCACTGACCTAGATATACAGGGAGTCTCGTAACTAGTTACGCCTGGAAAGCAGTGGTAGAGAACGTTATTCTGGACGTTACTCCCTGAAAGGGGTGGTTGAGGATGTCATTCTAAACAAGATTTTCCTTTGCAAAAATGGGGTTTGAAGCTTCGTTTTTGAATTATTAAGCAAAAATACGGACCAATCAGAGCGCGAGGATTACGCGCACCCAGAAACGAGAATGACGGGTGCAAGCGTAACGGTTGACCCTGGTCATGAATACACAAATTGCGCGACATTGGTAACATAGTTACCATTATCGATAATACGTCAGCCGGTAAGTGGTTATAAAATTCACAACTATTAATAAATATAAATTTATTAACGGAACTAATTGTATGAATTAAAAGAAAATAAAGATAAAGATCAAGAACAGTTTTTTTTAAAGAATTAAAAAAAAAATGACTTTTTGTTTAACGATATAAAATTATAGAATACTTGTACGCTTGCCGCATGAATGAATTTACGATGCGAGAATTCTTTATTAATTTTTAAGTACATCGTCGTATGACAAGAAACCTGTTTACTCGCTAAATCCCACAAGAGCATATCAATACCCGCTTTATAGAATTGTCAAGTAAAAAGGGTGACTGTCATATTTGATGTTTTCCGCATAATAATGATATAATTTCCGGATGAGGAATCCATGCTAAACAAACATACAATCACACTCGCACCACGATTGTCCCGTCCGCAGTGTCCATGGGTCACGCACCGCCATTGTCCCGTCTACAGTGTCCACTAAGTTTGTACAGTAAACATTCGATATGTGCTCCATTCTTGGGTCTGAACTGGTGTAGATATCGTACAGTTCCTACATTGATTGATGTTTTGCCGAACGTCGAACTGGTGCAGATATCGTACAGTTCCTACATT